GTCAGTTTAATATCCACTAAAGTAATTTTAATAAACTTTTATTTTTAATGTACAGTGTAACATATATTTTTTATATAAAAAAATGAATAAAGCTGCATACACAACACCCAAGCAAAGCTGCAGAAATGTATTCAGCAATGAGAATCTGTGTGTTTAGGTGTTTATCTAGATGTAGATAACAGTTAAAATGATGGTTGTTCGTGGCCAACTTTGTGGAACAAAAGACGTCATCAATCTTTTTATTAAAAAACCTAGATTAAGTTCTGTCGAGAATATCACGTTTTATGTGACAAATGCAAATTACCCATATATGGGCATAATGATACCATATATGGGCATAATGATACCATATATGGACATGATACCATATATGGCAAATCACAGGTATTTTTTAGATTGTTTTCGACAGAGCTTATTTTTTTTATTTGACCTAAAGTAAGACTTATATAGAATACATGTCTTTGTGAACCTAATTTATAAAAGATCACTGGAGAAGATTGCCAAAGGAGGGGGTAAAAAACTGAATATAATTTGTTTTTTTTTCTCTCATTTAGCAAAATGGTTCTGACAAAATATATAGGTGAAAGCAAAATAAAAATAAAATTTTATTGACAAATAAAAAAATGCGAGTGTGTGAAGTAAAAGGTATCATTAGGTCATCGATAGACCTGTTGACAAGGTTTTCCTGGCAATCCTTCAAGAAAATTTAAAATGAAATTTTATAATATTTGTTAAATTCTTCCACGCCTTTTGTTACTGACCACAATGAAATGGTGAACCGCTGAATTGAAGAATTTTAACAGTTGAAAGGCAATTACAGTCGATAGATGTCTTTATTGTACAATGCAGCTGCTTATCACCTGACAACTTACTGGATGAGGAGCTCTGGAGTTGAACTACACCTGCTAATCACCTGACAACTAATGGTGGACAGATCCTCGTGGGTCTTGACCTTATGAATAAGTTGTTTCCTGACAAACCTTAACATCAAAGCTCCGGATTGTATGTACATGGAATTGTAATACAAGCAAATTTTTCATCAAAATGGTGTTACATTACTTTCTAATGGGCTTTTGAATTGGATGTGATGACATCTACAGTATTTTGGCAATGAGATTTACACTTTTTTGTATCATCTGACCTTATTTTAAAGATGTAATATCAGTCGAAATGACAAGGAAATATCTCCAAAATTTTATTAAAATTATGAATAGCTTATTTAGAAGAATCAAACAAATTATTTCCAACAAGAAACAGATCGAAAAAAGTATTTTTTACCGATTTACAAAGGTTTACTACAAAAATCGTTGAAAAAATTACTAGCCAATGTAAGGATCTATGCAAATGAATAAAGGAAAGTTAATTTTAATGTCCGAAAATTGACGGGGGAATTTTTTTCATTCATATTTTTTATTTAAAGTTAATAACTTACTTAAATATACAAATTAAGCAATTCAAATCTAAAAATTAAAATGTTCTCATGAATATCATGACATCTTTAAATGGAATTTTGATGATTGAACCATTATCAATTTATTGCTTTTTGGCATAAATCACAGGTGGGTAAAGTGCGGCTCGCGGGCCGCATGTGGCCCGACAGAATTTTTTGCGGCCGGTGAAAATGAATTAAAAACCCTATGTGTGTGGCCCGCCAAGCAACATTGGCTAGAAAACACACTGTTTTTTACGGTCATATGTTAAAAGTAACATTAAAACTGAAAATAAAGTGGTGCAAAAGCAGTGCTTGGAGATTTTTGGAAGCTCACTTTAAACATCTAAGTTTGGATGTGGCCCTCGGTGTTAAATCAAAAATTCACCTTGGCCCTCCAACCGATTTTTATGCCCACCCCTGGCATATATGATCATTGATGTGTAAATACAGATTATGTACAAATGCTATGAAATAGTCCTACATTGTTAACATTCTGAACAAATCAGTAGTGGTACTATCTCATTGCAGTTAAGAGATGCTTGCATTTTAATCCCAAGGTCCTCGGTTCAAATTATGTCAAGTAACATGAAGGTTAATCCCCCTGTCTGACAGCCAAAAATATCTGCCAGTCATAACTCGTTGGATCAAAAATTTAACTACGAATATGAAATTCAATTTTCAGTCTGACTAGTTAGACCTAAAATGAGCATAATGGGACCACTTCAGAACGATTTATACGGCCAGTAATTGGACATGTTTTCACTGCGCCAGTGGGCTCTTCCCTAGATCCTAGTCAGGAAAGATATAAGCTTTGCTCTCCATCAATCTTACATAGTACATTTTAGAACCACCACTACATACAGATCATTTTCAAATGACAGAAAATAAGGAAGGCACAGCACCCAATGCAATCCGGTTCATTCTAAAGGGTTCCACCAAACTTTGTTAACAAAATAATCATCCCTAGCCATCTGAGTTCAATTACATATTTTTGTTTAACCAAGTTGCGATGTTTCCGATTGTTGAATTTCAAAAACCATATTTTGATCATTTCTTGAGGGATGTCCAACGTTTGAAATTACACAGCGATACGTCCTTGTACACTCCAGGCTGGGCAACCCAAGTCTGACCTCGGATCCCATGTGCTTTCAGGAATTCCCAAGTCATCTAAGGAAATTTATTCAGGCTCAATTAAAATAAAGATAAAAATCTCCATCTAAAATTGTTTGCCAAGGGCATTCATAATGATATAAGCACATCCAGATGGGTATAGTGTGGTAGAAGGTGTTCCCCCTTCCCTTTACACAGAAATCCCAGACACACTGTTATGTTATACAAAGTCATACAAATGAATTAAACAATTGGATATTTGTTATCTGATATCAAAAAGTAGAAAGAAATTTTAATATGGGACATTATCAGATCATTACGTTCTTATGTAATCAATATATTATTTAGCCACTCAAAAATTTATATCTCATAACTTAAGTAGTTTGTATATTTCGTCTTATAACAGCCTACAAGGACTCCATTTCTTAGACCCCTGTACAGTTAGTGGAGATCATCAGGGAATCAATATCTTAAAATTAGATGAACCCCTCTAGAACTGATTGAATTAAGTCACTTTTAGGAATCAATCAGTCCAATATCTCCTTGAAGTTCTATTGGCTTGGTATCTTGATTTTTAGTCTATAATTTTGTTCTAATATTTATGAGGATGAATAAATTCTAATCAAATAGAACTTTTGCTTTTTTTTTCAGTCTATCAGTGATGTAGCAATATGACAATTGGTGGGACAGTCTTTAGAAAAAATATACCAGCAACTACTGCAACTCTCTCAAGTTTTACAAGACCCCGGGACCCCTTCGTTGTACGCAGTAAGTATTTTCGCCTCTGTAACCCACAAACATGAACCTCATGAACAATGATCGTGAACCCTTTTGTAAATTGAGTAAATGCTGGAAAACAAATGTCAATGACATTGGTAAAATAGCATGACTAATTATTACTAACACCAAGAAAAATCCTGTTTGCCAATGTTATATTATCTACTTAGTAGATTCATAATAAAGTAAAATTGAGAAAAAATTTTCAGAGTTTCACCTAAGGGTGGGTTTTCACTTGTCTCTGTACAGTAGTAGTTAATCTGATGATAAAATAGGTTAATTGCATTGCTTTTGGTATGTAAGGCAATTATTTAATCAGGATAGTGACGTGATAATAATAGCAGATGCAGATACTGATGTCCATTGGTGACAGAAAATGGACAGATTCACCCAAATTAATAATTTCCTTCGAAATTGAAAATGATGGCCATCAGAAATGGACGTATGCAAAAAAAAAAAAAAAAAGAAAAAAGTTTAACTAGAAAGAAAAGAAGTTACTGACAGAGATGCAGCAGAGCCATTGATTGGTCATTTCCTCAAGTGGAATTTACAGCCAAATTGAGAGAATTTTTACAATAAAATTATAATTGAATCGATAAAAAACTGGCAATATATTGTATATGGCTTAAACAGAGTTACGAATAAAAAAGTAAAAATCAGAATTCATAGAATATGAGACATAAATGAAGAAGAAATTTATAATAAGGGTGTTTAAAGGGGAGAAAATTCCAAATGGGAAGCAGCAGCAAGCAAAATAAGGCAATTTAATGTAAGGGTTTGTGAAAATGTTGATACCAGTAAGTCAGTCATATACCCCACATTAAACTACAGTATATACTTTCTATACCCTAATTATTAGATCATACACCTAAGTAGGAATGTATACGTGGCTCCCCTGAGGAAGAATTCATTTTTTAATTCTAATTTTCAATTGAAAACTAACAATAAGAATAAATAAGAATTTATCTTAATAAATATACAAAGTAAACAGTCAAATATTGAATTTCATATTTTAAGATATTTATTTAGTTTATAATCACAGATGCTATATTAAAGATATCTGTTTTAAATGAAATAATGAAAAAGCAAATAGCAATTTGACAAAGCAACATAATGTAATGTTTTGAGGAAGAATTCATTTTTTAATTCTAATTTTCAATTGAACACTAACAATAAGAATAAAAAAGAATTTATCTAAATAAATATACAAAGTAAACAGTCAAATATTGAATTTCATATTTTAAGATATTTAGTTTATAATCACAGATGCTATATTAAAGATATCTGTTTTAAATGAAATAATGAAAAAGCAAATAGCAATTTGACAAAACAATATAATGTAATGTTCTTAAATGAATGTATAATTAGGAGAAGAGGAGGAACATTAATGAAGAGGATGGAAAATTTTATAATAAGATAACTTATATAGAATCCTATGGAAAATACAAACACAGGCATAATATAGAATTTAGAAGTAATGTAAAAGCATATAAATATAACAATGTGACAAAACAACATAATGTTATGTTCTTAAAATAAGGTACAGTAAGGGGAAGGGGGGGAAAATTAAGGAAGAGGATGGAAAAATTTATAATAACAAGATAACCTACATTGACATCCTATGGCAAATTCAAACAGGGAAAAACACAGAATTTAATTGCAAAGGGTGGCACAAGCCTACCTGAATTGGTCTGGGAAATTCGGTTTGATATAGTTAGCCTCTGCATGGTGTCTGATACAAATGATGTGAGATATACCAAACTGGGACAACTGTGTACGCTGATAAGAACAAAACAAGAAATTCAATTTATGATGGAATTTGAATATAAAACATGCTGAATTCACTTAAGCATTTGCTCCAAAAGGTGAATATGTTTAACCTTTACATTATTGAAAATCATGTTTTATCAACATCAGACACATCTGCAATATTATATCACATTACAGAAATGTAGGTCTTGAAACATTGCTAACTAACAATGCGAATAACTTTAATTTCGTAAATAGTAAATGTGTTAGTAGTCAGTTAATTGACATGTTGCCTGTCACACGGAATGGTGTGATTCTTACGGCGACACAAGATATTTCATAGTACTGTATATTTCACGCAAACTTCAAGAAAGAATACAACAACAAAATATATTTATTTATTAGATCTTACACAAGACAAACATTCAACTGATAGGCAGACAATGAATATACTGTACATGCAACACCAGTGAATAAGCCGCACTGTAAAACAGCTTATCAATTTATTAGCCTACAATACTTTAAAACCCCTTTTTTTTGGGGCCCTTCATTTTTGAGATTTTACATTTTGAAATATTTTGCAACATTTCATTTTCGCAATTTTACAATACCAGTCCTTTTTTAACATGATATAGAAAACTACAATTACGTTTTTTAGTCTATATTTTAGCTAGAACTCCCCTCAAATTTGGTGGACTTATTTTTCAAGCAATCTGCTACCCTCCCAATTTGTAGGCTAGCTACCATATAGGCAGGGCTATTGCAGCTACTCAAGTGTAGGCTTGAATAAGGTTTTTTCAAATAGAAATGTTAGAAATCTTGCAGCAAATGTAGCTCTAGCAAAGTTGACCAAGAGTTTAATAGTTACTGTAATAGAACAATCACGTAACAAAATAAAATAGTTAATTACCAACTAATGGGAAATATCCATATTATAGAAGAAATACAATGCTGTGATTTTCATTTGACTGTAGGTGCAGGCCCAGACTTAGCTAGCACCACTAATCTATAGTACGCTTAGCACTCTATCTGACTGTGTGAAGTGAAGTGTGGTGTAATAGCCTACTGTAGCTAGCTGAGGTAAAAATAACTTATTCCAAAAATTGCAAAAATTAAGGGCGTGCGAAATTAAAGGGATATACAGTATAGTTACCTCAGCCAACGAAGTTGGCAGGAGGTTATGTTTTTGCCCCTGTTTATTTATTTATTTATCTGTCTGTTGGCATATTTGTTGTGAACAGCCTACAGCCACTAGTTTTTATCAGAATTTCATCAAACTTGGCTACAATGTTCATTTACCTAAGATCTAGAGCTCATTAAATTTTGAAGGGTCAGGGTCAAATGTCAAGGTCACAATCAACGAAAAATTTTCTTTTTATTTATTTGTCTACAGCCCACAGTTTTAATCACAAACTTGTCAAACTTGGTCACAATGTTCCATGACCAAGGATCTCATTACCTCCGCCAACAAAGTTTTAGTTAAACTGTCTGCCGTATGGACGTGCATGTGGGCTTGCCGGTAAAGTGTAAACAAACATATGACCATTAATTTTCAAAGTGATATACTTGAAAACAGTTTGGTGTAGTAGTTAGAAGAGTGTTTTCCACACTACCAGCCCCGGGTTCAAATAACAAGGAGTCTACTTGATGTTTTTTCTTTTTTTTTTTCATAATCTTTTTTTTATGGGGACAATACTGTATGCGGGGGAAAATTTATACGGAGGAGAATTATGATGTGGGCGGAGGTATGCACTCTCCGAGTGCTCTCTAGTCTTATATGCATTCTACCATTTAATTTTTTTTTGTTTTGTTGATAGAAAATATTTTAATATCACCTTGTTCTTGGTGGCAGCAGCATATGGGCCCAGAAAGATACTTGGTAAGATCTCCTGCAAAAACCAAGTAAAATTGTTTTTAAAGAGGCAAAAAGAGGCAAAAGTTAACAAATGTTATACTAAAAGGTATTCTCTCAAACTTGTATATGTTATGGCTAAGGATAAATGAAATGCAATATTAAATCCATCATCCAAATACATTTTTTTAATGATGCAAACATTTTTTTTAAATATATTATTAATTATTTTTACCCTTGAGCTCTAATCAGTATAATTTCTGTCATGTCCGGATTCAATTTGTTTACGATACAGAATGCACTTATAAATATGAATATTATGTCCTTCACCCATAATATTAATTCACAGATCAAATATTTCAATTTCAAAAATTGAAGGAGAAAATTTGTCAATAATGTTCGTGACATGGGCAGGGACAAATGATTTCTTTTTTAATGGTTATAATATGGATTATTGTATTAATCCAATGCATAAAGTGGAATTCATGATTCATACATCAGATGGTGTGTCATTATATAAATTTATAAATATAAATTTATATATAAATACCTGCATTTCTCTTCTCATGACATACTCCCATTCCTTGCAAAGAAATCAGAAGGTTTTGAAAGTTTGCCAACTTTAGTGATAATTCAATTTGTCAAAATGCCTGACATGATAAAAAGCTATCATCATAAACAACTACATCATGATCATTGTAGAATAATAGAAATTCTTTACATTTTTTCTATAATTGAAACCCAAGCCATGCTTTTGTGTTGATAAAATAACCAGATTTAAAATAGGAATAAAATCTATATTTCTTCTTTACTAATTTTAAGTTAAAACATTAATTTTTTTCATTAGTAATCCCAATTAAACTTGGAATTTCAATTTGAAAACTCTGCCATTACAGTAGGTACAATAATAAAAACAATTACTTATCACCTGGGAAAAAAAAAAGTTTAATGAGATGCATCTACTGAAAAACATAAGTCAAATACACATGGAAAGAATATACAACATTAATCAGATTGAAACCCTAAAATCAAAGTAAGTATTTAATAATATTACTTAAGGCGTAATTATTAATATTAGTATTACTGGGAGAAATACATGACACATTTATTTTGTTAAATAAATATAGGTTTAAAAAAGGTCCTGGCAATAGTATTAACTAAATCAAAGGGTAGAAATAGGAATGTAAATTAATGAGCATTAACCTAAAAAAAATCCAAAGGATTCTTAAACTTAAAAGGAGGACGCAGTGTCTGTGTCGGATATCACATTAGCTATGAGAGCAGACTACTTAAAGTAGTATCAATAGCAACACCGCACGTATACACGTGTTGACATCTTAATCTTACCCACACTCTCTCTTGTCATCCATTCCGAAGGGAAATAACAGGAATAACTGGATACCCGATAGTAATTGCCATAACTATATACAAATAAACATTCCATTCACAGAAACAATATAATCATGACAGTAAGTAGCTATGATAAGACATCTTGAATACTACTTCAATTATTTAATTTTATTTACCTTAATTTTTTATTAACTAAATTTTATTTATATAAATACCGTGTACTCGATATTTTTGTCTAGATAGAGGGAATAGCTTTAATCCGGTGGACTACTATTAATAGAATATGTCTGCAAAACTTTCAGACACTCCCTTGTTTGTCAACCTTTAACAAATTGGATTATGAATTAATGTAATATATTTATATTTATATAAATTGTCAGATGACATGTATCCCTTGACCCTAGAATGTAAATAACTACAATTGCAATGAAAACTACTTCTGTAACATAGGCAAAGATTTGCAGTAGAGTAGAGTTTGTGCCAAAGTTATTTTACTACATGAAATCACATTCAATTAATGTAATCTTTAGTAGCTTGTATCTGCACCAATCTTTAAACTTAAAACCCAAATAAGGTTTGAAATCCATAGAATTAATTGTTTGCTTGATGATCTTGGCCATTTGGCAAAAGTGACCAGACAGATATTTTTTATTTACTTTGCTAAAGGTGTCATTCAGAACATACAAAAAAAAAATAAATATATGTTCTCTGGAAATACTTCAAACTAAATGCTGTTATTGCGTTGAATACCGAATGAAGTTTCGAAAAAAAAATTGCATTACTGTAAATGGATAAAAAAGAAAACCAGGTCAGGGTAATAAAAAAAAAAATCATGCCCTGGCATGGTAATCCTAAGCGCCCTTAAGATTGCTTAGCCTATGCTAGACTACAAGCATCAAAATTGTCACAGAAAACAAACAGTTAAAAAAAAAATCATCATCACCCAAGAATAAGACGACAATAAATCCTATAGGGCCTTAGACTACAGGCAGTGAATTTCCGAGTACTTGTTTGTTTATACTGCAGTTATGATGCATAGTGAAAAAGTGTTATTATGTTATTAATGATGTCAGAAACATGAACTGGGCATGTGACCCACAGCACCCCAAAATACGCAATCTGCCAATCATAATATTCCTTCCTAAATTGTACAACCCTAATTTAGGCACACATCAACAATGTTATTGAGATAATACAACATATGTTTGTCAACAAGTTTTCGTACTATAATCGTGTAGCTTAAACTTATTATTACATACCTGTACGTTTGTTTTGGGAATGGCCGGATACTGTGGAGATGGTATTGATAGGTTTGAATAAAGGTAATTCATGTTCCTGATATAGTTTTGGGTACAGCAAGAATGGTACTTGCTTTGAGATCTGCCAGAAAGAACAATTATTCAATAAACAATCACAAATATTAGCTGAAATGTGAATTATGAAAATTATTCAGATGATTTCAGATACTACTAATATTATTAGTATTATTAATATATTAAATATATTATTGCATATTCGTAATTCAAACACATTTTGCAGGGAAAAACATTGTCTGGGGGCATATGATAGCCGTGCATTTATCAAAAATCTATCTTAAATCCCATTTGTAAACTATTATCGCCTAGGCCTAGACTGGTCTATTTTTTTAGTTAGGCAGAGGTGCTCGCAGTGTCAAAAAGGCAAGCTTTTGCTAACAAACTAAAAGACGAGCCGAATGGCAGGGGCCTAGCTTTCTGTTTGGAGTAACTATTGTATATGCTATAGCCCCGTTCCAGAATACCGACTGGTGATTCAAGTAACATATATTCCAATAATTCATAAACTATTCATGTATAAAATGTACCTTCAAGTGTAAGAAACATCTAGGTTTAAACATCAATCGCCTCAGCTCTCATTTGTTTTCTTCGTGCATCGGCCTTGTTTTTGTTGCATAAATTGCCAGGCTGTCTTCGATAATTTCTGTCCATTTTCATCTGTCAATCTCCAGTCTTCAAACCATTCAATGTAAAACATGAAGAGTATGACTCTATTACAAGAATATAAAAATGATATGGTAGTCCTACAAAGAGTGTTTTATCAATGCTAATAATTAGTACTTACATACCGATTTTAAATTAATCTTTAAATTAATATTTTATTAGATGCCCGTCCTTATTTTACTTTATACCTGTAGATTATTGTTTGGTTACCTTGTTTTTTTGTTTTTGCTTTGTTTTGTTTTGTTTTGTTTTTTTTTGTTTTGTATTTGTTTTTGTTTTTTTGTTTCTCATTCTCTAATTTTGAAATTGTTCTGTAATGGTAATTATTTAGCATTGGATAATATACATCCTTCTAAACCGCCTTGCATTTTAAAATGAAAGTTTTGATTTACTTTAATTTGTATTTGTTTATTTTCATGTCACCTTTCATATCACTTTATTAATATTACTTTATGTTATATGCTTTGCTTTTCAATTGATTTTACTTACATTATTGTTTAATTTAATCATTGTCTGTATATATCTATGTTAAAAAAATCCTAAGACCAGACTAACAGACCTGAGAGCCAGAGTGTTTTTCACACTATAGTTTAATCCTAGCCAACTTAGGTTATATATTGTCTTTCATTTTGTTTTGGCCAGTTTAATTTTGTTATAGACCTAAATAATATTATTTCGGGCTATACTTTACGCCTATATTTTGTTTCAGGTTACAATGTTCCTATGTGCACCATTTTCATCCTTATAGTTAATTGTTTGTATGATATGTTAAAGTATTGTTTGTTTTGCATAAGGATGCACCATCATGCATGTGTGCTGCGGATTTAAAAACGTTTGAAAATAAATTTAATGATTGATTGAAGTCAGTGAATTCATTATTTAGAATAGTTAGGTTTTTAAATACTGTGTATTGTCGGGTTTCGTTTTTCTTATGTAATCACGTTACTAATAACAGCGAAGAGCGAACAAGTAGCGCGTACCGGAAGCGCGTACCGGAAGCGCGTACCGGAAGCGCGATCCGGAAGCGCGTATCGGAAGCGCGTACTGGAAGCGCGTGCCTACGCTCCGAAAGTTAATGGTTACGTGTTGATTTAATGGGCAGCAACGTGTGTCTGTGAAACTAAACGGTAATGAAGCTAATAAAACAACCTCAAAACACTCTCAATATTTACGATCCTAAATTATTATCAATCATAAGTCAATCGTGACGTCATCACTGCAACTCCCAATGTTATTTGGCTATCCCCAACAGCCCACTAATTTTTCAATTAGTGGTCCCACAGTTCACTAATTTTTCAATTAGTGAACGCTTGGCTTGATTTTTTTTAGGTTCGTGTGCAAAAAAAAGGCCTAATTTTTTGTCACTGCGAAGATATCGCACACCTCGATGAAAATTAAATTGTAATTGAAGATTACTTTCATAAAAAAAAGTTAATTAGAAAGTTACTTTAAATTCAATATTAACCATGAACAATTAGGAATTCCTTGAATCAATGAACCCTAATAAACAAAACAAACTGAACGTTTAATAGGAATATTCTAGACCATTTTAAAGAGTCAAGGAACGAAATCAGATGTAGGCCCATGGCCATGCATAGTACACTAGCGGAAAATTATTATACTTAGGTTGGATTTAATGCCTTCAAAAAAATTTCAAGCATTAAATCTAACTTTCGTATAATAATTTTGCTATGTACTATGCAGAGCTCTGTTAATTTCGTATTATTTTACGAAAATTAATTGTGATGATAACGCCCTCAATTTTATAACATCTGTCAAAGTAAAACCAAACCACGGAGAAATATATTAATATATATTTTCTATGATAAAACCAGATAGCATAGAAATTAGGGGGAAAAAAACAAGAGGTGCAAACTAAAAATGGGAAATCATTTGCTTCTGTTCATATTAATATATATTTAATATCTTTAAATTTGTCTATTATAGGCCTAACGTATACGCCCTATTGTTGCCATTATTGATATTAGGGTAGAAAATATGCAAAGTGATCTTGTGAGGTGTATCGTTGAGCACAAACTGAGAGAGTCTCACTTGTTTACCAAGTAATGGTTACTTAAGAAAATATAAATAATGCTCATATATTTGATGAATGTATATAGTTTTCATTACTTCAAATTTGTTTATAATATTATGGATTCGATTCTGAAATATCTCAATCAATTATGAAATTCTTATTGGGTAACCAGTTATCTTGAGATTATTTGTTTTCATTCCGCTTCACTTCTAGAAAGTGTTTATAGTTGTGTGACAATTATGCTGACCTGTTTTCCATGCTCGTCTAAACATATTTTATTTTTTATTATTATATTGGTCTGTTTGCCCGCAACGTTTACGTAACTGCATACGTCATTGTCAATGATGTCCAATCAGGCACCACTGTCAGTATTCTTATCCTAAAAATAATATAAACATTGTATACAGTACGGTACCTCATATATGTATCCCATATCTTTAACGGTATATTTTCGCAACATTCCAAATGAAAATGTCATTGGGAGAAGGTTAAGTGGGGAACTGTGAATCAAGTGTGGGGAAATTACCTTAAGGCACAAAGGTTATGAGGTGATTTATAAATATTTGTCGTTCAATAGATATATGTGATGTTATGTTTCATTAGGTCCATCATAAAGTGTCGGGAATGTCTCCTCAATCCTCTGTTGAAGAACCACAACACAGCATAATACAACGGTATTGAATCGTGATGAGTGACGAAAGTAGAATTGGGTGCATCCCGTAACGTGGCTGTCGGTTATGTGAACATACCGAATATTTCGATAAATACATTCTATAATTACAATGGAGGGTTTAAATCAACTGATGACATTCGATCATTCCTTCCGTCTTACTTTTTTTACTTTTTTTTTTTATTTGTAAACCACCAGAAGTTCAACAAGGATAATTTGGGCGTACTAAATCAAATCGATCCAGTACATTTGGACGTCATACAGGTTTTGTAAAGGGTATTCCTATCTAGTTACATGTATTATTTCAATTGATTGGCATGGCCTCTTTTGCATTGTGTTGTAGTTAATTGGTAATTTACATTATAAAATAATTGTGGTCAATATTGTACGGTAACCCATATGGCCATATGGCCCATTTGTGAGTGATGATAACGTCATATGGCCCATGTGAGTGATGATAACGCCTATGTTCGTGTAAACGATGCTTGTTGCAGTGAAGGGAAGGGGCAGGAAGGGAACCACTTACACAGTATTTTGCAATTCAATTCTACTTTTAATCAAATTACCGTCTTCCACTTCAGGTAATTCTGGTTAATTTCCTTTATTAACTTTCTGTCTTCCACAATTTAACTGTTGGAAGAGCAGAGAGTGAAATGGTGACAAACAAGTTGGTATACGCATGTCACGTGCGTAGCGCGTGGCATTACGTGCCGCCAATTAACTTCATCGCTTTGCAATAGATCATAGGACGAAGTATACTGTTACGGTAATTTACCGTATGTGTTAAAGTCAGACTCCGGAGGGAAACAAAATTGATATGTTGTAGCACTGATTTTTCTAAGACAGAATAAAGTTGTCTGACGAAAAACTGGGGAACGGTGAATGAGATACAGATTTTTGAATATTTAAAAACTATGGGAAAAGGTGTAAACAAAGGCGGTTACGCCCCCTTTCCCCCAGTTTTTAAATATTAAAAAATCTGTATCTCATTCACCGTTCCCCAGTTTTTCGTCAGACAACTTTTTTCTGTCTTAGAAAAATCAGTGGTACAACATATTATTTTTTTTTCCTCCGGAGCCTGAATTTAATGTGTGACATCTGTGGTATATTAATTAATATCGCACTGTGACAATCGTATCGAAAGTGGAATATTTGATCCCTGTCTATTGTGGGTTAAAGCAAAAGTAACCACTTACACCATAGATGGAAATAGAGCCCAGGTTCTATTCCATCAGCAGCATCTGTCCCTGTGAAATACATGGCACATTGCCTTTGGTCCCACATACTAGGCCTACTATTCGAAAAAGAGTAGGAGATTGTTTCCTGGTATCTGCCTCTCACATTTGGAGGGGCACTGAACGACGGCTCCTGGCGCAACAGCACAGCGCGACTGTACGTAAACGTGTGCCTGTGGGACATGCGCGTATTTCTGACATTGTTCTGTTTGAACATCTGTTAAGTTTGGCTGACACTTCTGAAAGTCTGCAAAGGAACTTTACTTTATACATTACTTTATAAAGCTTTGAAACAGAAAAGAAACTGAATTTTAATACAGACAATATTTAGCACATCAACGATCCATGAAGGAATACATTTAGTTTCAAAGCTTATTCCTTTATGAACGATCGCGTCACAACTATTTAACCATGTATACACAAAGATTTCTTTAGAAGAGAAGAACACGACGAGAGGAATGATACATTTTATATATTATGTATTTTATTTATTTATTAAAGCAATATTTAACGAAAGTAGCCCTAAGAACAAAACAAGGGGAAGACAGGCCTATACCCCCTTTACTATACTAAAGTGTACTTATTCTGTATAATAAAGTGACACGAGCGATATCTATTACCGGAGACAATTTGATTAAACGCATCCGGCTGTCTAATTATCGTAAAACCGGGCCGTTTACAAACTTGACTGTAGGCCTACTGTAATATTGCACATGGTATGCAAAGCGAATATCGGCTTGATATATAGATTCAGGATTTGAGTGGGCTTGCGCTTCATATTTGGCACTCATCGAAGACAGGCGAACACATGTCAATTAACGTGATCCTACTCTATAACCGTCTGACAAGTCCAGAATTAGCAATCTATAACAGCCAGGATGTGTATAGTACTTTGACAGTAGGCTAAGATACATGGTCTGTACATAAACATATAAAAAACTATCTCTATTTATGACGTAGCCTGGCCTTGGAGTAAATCGAATCACAGGCCATATCAAATCGACGTCATATTCACCTGTAATAGTAAAGTCTCGCCTGAGCACTTTAAAACTTCACTTTTCTCAAACCCATTGAACCATACGCTGTGGCGCGTCAGGATGTTCTTATGACTGATGCCGAGCACGGTATAGAAACACGTTATATATTTACAACAGTGTTACTTTGCCATCCACGGGTCTGGAAGACATCCGCTGATATACTGTATTGTGCTATATAAATTCAACATTTTTTTTTTCAAGTTGCTATTGGATTTAACATAGATCCATTATTTCATAACCCACGGCTTTCCCAAACACCGGTGTGACGCATTAGTCCGTGTTAAAGGTGTTACAGGAAGCGCGTTGTTTCTTATACCAAGCAAATAAATACTGGATAAAACACACAATTTGTTTCCAGCGTGTTACACTTTGCTGACAAGCATAATTTCACTGAATATGGCTTTTCATATGTCATCGAGTTTGCATATTAATCTACTTTGCGTTTTGACTTTACTGAGTGTATTGATAGTGACATTAAACTCACAGAGAACGTATCAATATTCCCCTGTATATACAAGAACTACGACAGTAAGGTAAGTTTTAAGTGCGAATGCGTCGCGCGTCACACCCACATTAACACATGCGGTTACCTGTGTCGTTTGCAATACTAAAAGTCAATAATGCGCTGATAATATAGGATCTTGGTCTAGGTAAAGTATATGCGGTCGCGCAATTTACTTTTAGAAGTTGCAAAGCGATGTATTATTATGTAGGTTTTTGTATAAAATATGTTAGTTATCGTTAGTACCCGGTACATTAGGGTCTTTTCCTAGTCGTGGTGCACTGGCGTATCTACGGGGTTCCACGAATAGGCGCGCAATCCCCAACCCAAAAAGAAAAAGCTTGCTTCCAACACTGTCGCCCGAACTGGAAATTTGCTTAGCAATTCATGTGGTTAAAAATATAACATAAAGCCGGGCAGTCACTGCGTCGTACGACGAATCTAACCCCGATTCCTCAGGAGCGGCACACGACGCGACACCGTCCGTTGATTGTCGGTGGCGGTCTGAACGGATCGTCATTAAAAAACGATCCGCTGCGTGCGCCGTTGCGTTTTGTTCTCCATAGAATCGTGTCGCAGTGAGTGCCCGCCCCACTTAATAATGGAGTCCCCTCCCCCGCTCCCATCCATTTTCAGCCACCGTTAGCCCTCCTCCATCACCACAGCGTCAATACATTTAGGTACGCCACAGCCGTGGAGACAGTCTTTCACTCTACTGTTCAGTCTCTGGTCAGCTTCCTTTCTGATATACAAATAAACTATAAATTAGTAATCTGGCACTATATCATCCCAGTCTGCGACGGATTATTGAAGCACCGTACACCGATGTATGTCATTATTGCGATACACAAACAGCCTGTATTTAAGGCATGCCTATAGATAATATATAGATACCAAAGATGTGACGTAGTGTTTTGTATTGTGTAAGTGAAGTGTTACTTATAATTTCGACAGTAAACACACGCGTCCATATGGTTACAATGACCAGCTAAACCTTAAGATCTCGAATCTGCCGCCATAATCCCTACAATGTCCGCTTTTATATACCCAAGTTCGTGGCATTAGTCAGGAACTGAAGGACATTGCCCTACATTGCCATTCATAAACTTTTCTCAAATCTGCCTAAAGTCGAGGTTATGATTGGTAGAATAAAACCCATTTTTGGAGATATTGATCTGCCTTCCCTGTCTAATATAATAGAACCCGATAGACATCTTTGAAGAAGGATTTTTTTTTTATGGGAGAGCCATCCTTGCATTTGCACCTCTCTGATCAGTCCAAATTAGGCCTATGTAATTTGTTTTTACTCAGGGGCGGATTTAGGTGGTGGGCTCCCCCAACCCCCCACTTTTTGGAAAGGAAAAAAAAAAAGAAAGAAAGAAAAAAAAAGAAAAAAAAAAGAAAGAAACAAAAAACGCCTTAGCGTTTAATTTCGGACGTCTAGAAAAAAGAAAATTCACGGGGCATACCCACGGACCACCTAGGTAAAAGCAGGAAGTATTAGACAGCAAGTCAGTCACTGATGGGGCCGATTCAGTATAATCATCATTATTATTATTATTGTTATCATTATCATTATCATAATATATCCGTACGTCGATGAATTTCATATTTAGTTGGCTTTTGTCCATTGGTTTTTGGCGCGTTTCACTGTCGTCCTGACCAACGTGCTATGTTTTCACTTGGAACATCCTGTGGTGCGCGCTGCCGGAAGTCCCACTCATCCCAGAAGATGGTTTACGTTTTATCTTCGGGTGTTTTTAACAAAATTCGTCATGTTTTTATGTTAACAATCCATACACAGTGTTTGTACGAGACTACGTTACATTATAGCCTGGAAGATGTGCTACACGCCTTAACAGTAGTGCTCTAATAGGCCTGTGGTATTGGCGGCGCCAGCGGGGGAATAAGGGTTTAACCCCTTCCCGTCGTCCACGACGACCGAAATGCAATTTTTCTGTACTAGCTATTTTTTTCATTATAAATGATGAAAATCCAAAAATATAGGTCTATAGTACATACCTGACGTAGGAGCAATTAAACTTTCATTTACAGTGTCCAATTCGTCCACGTTTTATGGGTTGTTAAACCTTAATCGCTCGCGCCCCCATCCCTAAAGAATCGTACCCGTGGGCTGATATTAGACAACTCCAACTACATAACAATTCCTTCAGCTGTGATAACAGATTGAATGATTGGCATATGGTGAACATATTAATTTGTTTTTTTTTTATTAGAAAAGGTGAGACTTACAAATGTTGTTACTTGTCTTTTGCGCGGTTAGTGAACTTATAATAACCTCCAGCCGGATGGATATGAACTTGTATCGAACAAGGCGATCACAGTTTCGCTTAAGTTTTGTATTTTGCCGGGCTCTATTCTGTCCAAAGTATGCATAGATGTTTTCTTTGTCTTTAGTAAAATGCTAATATCGTTTAAGTGTTTCAGTATTGTGTTTCAGTAAAGCAATTATGGAAGTAACGGTAGCTAATGCCTCTAGATCGTTCCGGAGTGTCAAACTTAACAACTGACCAATCAAAACACGGCCACGAATACTCGCGCGTCTAACAAGCACACGTGTTTCCCCACGTCGTTTTTGCGACTTTAGCAACCAATATCCAAGGGGTGGGGCCTAGTGGAAAGGTCCATGTAGGTCGATCGTCTGTTGAAATAAACGACTCACCTCACGTGAAAAGTTTTTCGGTTCCGATGGAGTTTGCTATTTCTATGTTTATATTCCATAATTGCTTTTAATCGGTTATGCCTATTTGTAATTTACAATAAACAAGGGGGTTTATTATTAATTTTCTGATTAATGAATAATTTCCAATTTGTATTAATATTAATTTGTTGTCAATTTTCATCAAATTTTGTTATCAACCTGAGTCGCAGACTATAACAAATTAAACGCCCACGTGTGCAGTCATTTTGTGCCAAATCCTCCGTCCAGTAGGTACCGCAACAGGCACTGCCAAGGAAATTATCGATTAAAAGTTAAGCCTATGCCATTGATTCTAAGAAGAGCAACCATGCCAATACGTTACTAGTACTATTTATGAAGGCCAGCCTTCATCCTTACTCAAATTTTACAGAAAATCCGTCTATGACCATCAGTGGTGGCACCAAGGTCGGCTTCATCCGTAGGCCAAGCTCCCCAGTTGGTCCCTGCTCGTACGTTTTGGGTACTTGTCATACTATCGGTACGAACTATAAGTTAACAAAATGCAGAACAGCTCAAAATATCCAGAAAATTGTCCTAGAGGCACGACACTTTAGAAATCCTAGGGCCCCGCCATACTTCCCCTCCAGATGTTGGACAACACCTGTGACAAATTCTGGGTGCCATCAAGGTACATGGTGAATAAGTCATGGTTTGTTAATTTAGGTTCAGATTCTAATCATTTGATATCGGTGTATTTTCTAAATCTAGGAAGAAATTATTTTCAGGTTATTCCAAATTGATACAAGCCGAATTTTGATACGAAGCATGCGAGAATCTTAGGGGGGTGAGAGAAATTATTTTTAAAAAATAAGAAAGAAAGAAAAAGAAAAAAAAATATCGCCTCAGAGGTTATTTTCGGGGTCTAGAAAACAAAACTTTTCTCGGGGGCTTGCCGGACCCCCTGGGGTAGTGTTGTCTCGATCAGTCCACTTTCGCCCCCACCCCACCAACTTTTTATATATCTCTGGATCAACCCCTGCGAAGTATAAGACAAATTGGTGTTTATTTTAATGTTCGTTTTTTGTAAAAATATAAATATAGATTATATTTGTCTTTTAGTTTTTTATAATGGTTTTATCGTGAGAAAATAAAAAGGACAATTATGACAACGTGAGACTGTCAATTGGGTCTATTTGCTACTGTCAGGGATTTCGTTTCTATTCGCACACCTTTCCAACTTGACACCGGTCTGAAGGTGGATTGAGCAAAGCAAATGCTCTGTACAGATTTCAGATCTTATAATGAGATGGTTAGCACCTCGAATCTTTCACTTTAAATTATGCAAAGCAGTCAGTTAGGTTGATCGTGTAAATTAGTTACACCTGTGTCACTCTTCCATGCTTCCGTTGACAAAGTTGCTAATGAATTTGACTGTGAAGCGAATTTGATAGAGAGACCATGATGAAAATAGATGTAAGTTAATGTAGGTCAAGGAACTGATGAATTTTAAGAGGTCAAGAAATGAAGAAATAATTGACGTCAATTAATTTGAGGTTGAATTAAAGATCAAACCTTAGGCCTATATTGCCTCGGGTCCCATCACTAGGCTCAAAAGCAGGAAGGGGACTCGTAGTTCGCCCTTTCAATGAGATCGTGAGAATAAACAAGTCATTCGCTTCTTCAAAGCCTAAAAGTATCTGTGTTACGGCTTACGTAACTGTCATTTGTATTCCAGGGTGTGTGGGCGTATCGGTGGGTATCGTAAACCAAGAATGCCGTCCCAGTTATTGGAGAGGAAACACTCAGAGTAGGCCCTACCAGGGGTGGCGCCAGCGGGGGGGGGGGCACAGCCCCCGTCGGGGAGTGCTGCCCCTCTCCCCGTCGGGGAGAAAAAGCACAATTCGTCGGGGAGAAAAAAAATTATATGTATTTTCTACATATTAGTAGACTCTAAAATCGATTAAATAAGCCTTTGAAACCCCTAAATTGTTAAAATTGTCGGGGGCTTCGCCCACGCTTCGACCACGCTTCGACCACTTTCGAAACCTTTTAATCGCAGCTCGACCACGCCCACTTTGCTTTCTTCGGGAAAATCTGACCCTCGTCGGGGGCATCGGCGCCCCCTCGTCGTGGACCTCGCCCCCCCAGCCCCAGTCGGGCAAATCCTGGCGCAACCCCTGGGCCCTACACACAAACAGATACAAATAGAGGGTATGACGTCATTCCATGAAATCTACGGATTTTATCAATTTTGTTTAAATTTTTAAAATTTTGCTTAATACTTCTATTGATTGCTGTTTTTACACACTGCTGCTGCATCTTCAGAGGACCACTCATAAATTCAAGTTGCTATTTGCGCATTAGAATAAATTATTACTCTAGCAATGGATATTACTAACCTGGCTTGTCGCTCGACCCTTTTTAAGTATTTGAAAGAAAGCAGATAAAACTTAAGGTAAATTATGTTTTAAGGACCTGTATGAAAGCATGCGTATGAATGAAGAGAGGCGGTATGCCCCTGGGATATTACGTAACACCAAAAATAGCGACACCAACGTTAAGAACAAAGTACAACTCTAGGCCTATAAATGTGGCGGCGGGAGCTACGGTCAGGTGAATGAAAACATTTTAGATTAGTAATTATGCCATTAACAGTGTGATAATGATATAAATTTCTAAATGACCTAGTTATTGATAATCTAACATGGTGATAAATCTATTTTTGGCACGTGCTTTCACCTGTGCTACTTTCTTCTGGGTATGTCTGCTGGCGCGCAGCTAGCCCTAGCCTAGGCCTAGTCTGAGGCCTAGCTTAGGTCCAGGTCCTAGTTTAGTAGGCCTAGATTAAGTGGTTCTCCTGTTAAATTTAAACTCTCTCCCGCATTGTTCAATGATGTCTAGGCTTCCCTACAAGGCCT